GCGCTAACCACTAGACCAGCTAGCCACAATAAGATTCATCCAACTAGGTATATTTCTACACCATAGGAAGGTTAGCACAGGCACCTCTGTGACCACAAATGCAAGTGGTTAGCGCGACGGGCTGGAGTTTTGAGACTCTATGACCGCGGGTTCAATCCCGGCCGGGGGTATGGTTTATTTGCAATCGTGTCATTACGATTTCTTAAGTCATGTTGACGGCAGTGAAGGGACTTGAGCTAGAGTTCGTCACGGCCACGCTAGCTGGAGATTCGTCTGTAAAAACTTGCATTTGTGGTCACAGAGGTGCCTGTGCTAACCTTCCTATGGTGTAGAAATATACCTAGTTGGATGAATCTTATTGTGGCTAGCTGTCTAGTGGTTAGCGCGACGGGCTGGAGTTTTGAGACTATGACCGCGGGTTCAATCCCGGCCGGGGGTATGGTTTATTTGCAATCGTGTCATTACGATTTCTTAAGTCATGTTGACGGCAGTGAAGGGACTTGAGCTAGAGTTCGTCACGGCCACGCTAGCTGGAGATTCGTCTGTAAAAACTTGCATTTGTGGTCACAGAGGTGCCTGTGCTAACCTTCCTATGGTGTAGAAATATACCTAGTTGGATGAATCTTATTGTGGCTAGCTGGTCTAGTGGTTAGCGCGACGGGCTGGAGTTTTGAGACTCTATGACCGCGGGTTCAATCCCGGCCGGGGGTATGGTTTATTTGCAATCGTGTCATTACGATTTCTTAAGTCAGAGAGATTTATGTTGGTACTTGGAGATCTAGGTGGATGTTTACCCAGGGCAAAGTTACTAGTTGGGGTGACTTCAATCACAAGGAAATTGACTAGGAAACCGTGGAGCCACATGGGGAACCAGAAACGTGGAGGGCTAAGATGATGGAGGTGGTACTGGAAAACCTCATGCATCAACATGTGAGGGACACTACCAGAGAGAGAGGATAGGATGAACGAGCAAGACTGGACCTCACATTCACCTGAATTGTTCAAACATTGTGGATATCAAACATGAAAGGCCCCTCGGAGTTAGTGATCACGTGGTCCTGAACTTCGAATACATAGTAGAGTTACAAATGGAGAAGGAAGCAGGAAGAGTAGGATGGGAGAAGCCAAACTACAAAAGAGTGCGCTACATAGGCTAGAGGAATTTCCTTCAAAAGGTTCAGTAGAAAAGAGAACTGGTGGGAAAATCGGTAAATGAAATGATGGAGACCAAAATGAGCCCCTAGTTCACCCAAAGGTGTAAAGAGGCCAATACTAAGTGCGGTAAAGAATGGGAAAAATATAGAAGACATAGGACCCAGGAAAATAAGGATATTAGTCGATGAGCCGGAAAGAAATACGCAAAGAAAAGGAGGGTAGCGCAGCGGCAATATCATAATGACATACCATAGAAAGGAAAGTCTGACCCGAAGCTGTTTTACAGCCACATTAGGAGAAAAACAAGAGTCAAGGACCAGTTAATCATGCTGAGGAAGAAAGGAAGGGAGCTCACAAGAAACAACCGAGAAGTATGTGAAGGGCTCATCATTAGACTTAGGGAAGTATTTTCAGTAGAAACACGAAGGAGACCAGAAAGCCGGAATGGTAGGGTAAAGCAATATTTGGTTGACACAAAACGCACAACTGAGGAGGTGAAAAGGCAACTAATTGACCTAGATACCCCAAAGGTGGTGGGACCGAACATCTCTCTGTGGGTCCTGAGACAGGGAGCAGAGACACTAACAACAATCTTCAACACATCTATCGAGACAGGACAACTACCTGAGGTGTGGACGACAGCAAATGTAGTCCCAGTTTTTATGATAGACACTTAGCATTTACCTAAAGACCAGTATCACTGACATGTAGAGTATGCAAAGTCGAGGAGATGATTATCAGAAGAAAAGTGGTGGAGCATCTAGAAAGGAATGAACTCATACACGACAACAAGCTCGGTTTCAAGGAAGGGAAATCCTGGAGTTTTACAAGGTGACAGCAGTAAGACATGAGAGGGATGGGTAGATTGTATTTTCGTGTACTGCAAGAGGTTTTCGACATAGTTCCACACAAGATATTAGTGCAAAAGCTAGAGGATTAGGCAAGTATAACAGGAAAGGCACCGGAGTGGATCAGAGAATACCTGACAGGAAGGAAGCAGCGAGTCGTGGTACATGACGAAGTGTTAGAGTGGGCACCTTTATCGAATGGGGGTTCCACCGCTGCTATTTCTGGTATATGTGAAGGACATGACGGAAGGGATACATTCAGAAGTGTCCTTGTTTGCTGACGATGTGAAGCTAATGAGAATTCAATCGGATGAGGATGAGGCAGGACTACAACGGGCTGCAAACCTAGTCCAATAACTCGCTCCTGGAGTTTAACCCCACCAAGTGAAAAGTCTTGAAGTCTGGGGAAAGGGAAACAGAGTATAGGCTAGGGAACCAAAGACTGCAAACCTCACTCAAGAAAAAGGATCTTGGGTGAGGATAATACCGAGCACATCTCCTGAGGCGCACATCAACCAAATAACTGATTCAGTATATGCGCGCTTGGCAAATGTTTACAACAAGAGTAATTGCGAAGCTAAGGGGTATGTCCTACGAGGAGAGTTTAAGAGAAATCGATTTGACGACACTGGAGGACAGGAGGATTAGGGGAGGACATGAAAAACATAAAAAATACTTTGAGGAATTGATAAGGTGGAAAGGAACAGGATGTTTCAGAAATGTGACACAGCAACAAAGGGTCACACATTTGGAACCAGAAGACTCAGACGAGTCACAGGATGTTAGGAAGTATTTCTTTACTCATAAAGTTGTCAGGAAGTGGAAGAGTCTGGAGAGTGATGTAGTGGAGGCAGGATCAACACATAGCTTTAAGAGGTATGATAAAGCTCTTGGAGCAGGGAGATATTGGACCTAGTAGCGACCAGTGAAGAGACGGGGCCAGGAGCTATGAGTAGATCTCTACAACCACAAACAGGTGAGCACACAACACAACAGGCACTATCCAAGGTAAACTATCAACACTTCCAGGATGCCACCCACAACAGGCACTATCCAAGGTAAACTATCAACACTTCCAGGATGCCACCCACAACAGGCACTATAAAAGGTAAACTATCAACACCTCCAGGATGCCACCCACAACAGGCACTATCCAAGGTAAACTATCAACACTTCCAGGATGCCACCCACAACAGGCACTATCCAAAGTAAACTATCAACACTTCCAGGATGCCACCCACAACAGGCACTATCCAAGGTAAACTATCAACACCTCCAGGATGCCACCCACAACAGGCACTATCCAAGGTAAACTATCAACACTCCAGGATGCCACCCACAACAGGCACTACCAAGGTAAACTATCAACACTCCCAGGATGCCACCCACAACAGGCACTATCCAAGGTAAACTATCAACACCTCCAGGATGCCACCCACAACAGGCACTATCCAAGGTAAACTATCAACACTTCCAGGATGCCACCCACAACAGGCACTATCCAAGGTAAACTATCAACACTTCCAGGATGCCACCCACAACAGGCACTATCCAAGGTAAACTATCAACACCTCCAGGATGCCACCCACAACAGGCACTATCCAAGGTAAACTATCAACACTTCCAGGATGCCACCCACAACAGGCACTATCCAAGGTAAACTATCAACACCTCCAGGATGCCACCCACAACAGGCAACTATCCAAGGTAAACTATCAACACTCCCAGGATGCCACCCACAACAGGCACTATCCAAGGTAAACTATCAACACCCCCAGGATGCCACCCACAACAGGCACTATCCAAGGTAAACTATCAACACCCCCAGGATGCCACCCACAACAGGCACTATCCAAGGTAAACTATCAACACTCCCAGGATGCCACCCACAACAGTCGTCTAACACCCAGGTACCTATTTAATGCTAGGTGAACAGGGGAAGCAGATGTAAAGAAACATGGGAAACTCTTCCGCCGATGCCGGGGACTGAACCACAAACGCACTCGCTCGGTTAGCGAGTGCGCTGCCAACCAGGCCACGGGATGCTGCATATTATGCAAGTAATGGATGAAAAATAAGTATTGGGAGGAAATTACGGTTAAAAATGATAGTGTTTACAGGGTTTTGAGAGGATATTTTTAAGCTATATTATTAATAATGGACTAAGTGTATAACGAGGTAAAGTGTTTGAATAAACAAAACAAACTTAAAAAAGTAAACAAAGAAAATAATGAGGGTAGAAATCAGCGTATTTTTATTATCACATAAGCAAGCAGTAAAAGATGAATTATCTAGACGACTATAATAAAAAGTGTCTTATAAGAGAAGTCATGTTAAGAAATATAACTAAATGGAATAAAGAATAACACAGATTTAGAGGGAAATTTTAGTTTATAATGAGAATTTTCTGTCTTAAAGACTGAATAAAATTAATGGAAGAGAGATGAAGAGAAATGTCCGTTTTTTTTTGAAGTGGTTAATGGTGAAGAATTAAACATGAATTTTAAAAGCAATAATACAATTGTCCAAAATTGAATAATCAAAATAAATAATCACAGAATCATCAACGCTGAAAGATACATAAAAAAATATTGAAATTACGAGGACACATCAGTAGGTAAATAAGCCAACAATAGAAATAAATGACTTGTATAAGATAACATTCACAAATGTCATGCATGAAGAGGATATATGAAGATAAGTAACAGAGATAAGATAAAAACGATCTATCAGTAGACGGCAACATTACACTGAAAAAAACATTAAGATTCAACAAAGATATTGTTAAAAGAAATATTTTTTTGTTCAAATCTGAAATAGGCGCTTCACACAAACATCAGATTTGTGAAAAATATTCAGATGAAGAATGATATATATCTGCATTAAGTATTTATTTGTGTATCCCTCCTCCGATATTTCGATAGGTTACATATTTTTTTCCCACTAAGAGAGAACACCTTCCACTAAACTCCCGATACTTTGGTCATCTACTTTCAGATATTGCTATTGGTCTTCACATCACCAAGGTGACAGTACCGACGCCCGTGGCAGTGGGTGGAGGCGGGTGGATTGAGTGTGAGTTTGTGGACGAGGGTGAGAACATCTACGCCCTCAAGTGGTACTTGGGCCTAGACGAGTTCTACCGATGGACGCCGGCAGAGAACCCGCCAGTCAAGACCTTTCCAGTCAGGGATGATCCCCTGACGGTGGACACAGCGATTTCAAGCAGAGGCAAAGTCTGGATATACGACCTGACTCTTGGAGCATCAGGAGTCTTCCGCTGTGAGGTGTCTGCAGAGGCTCCGGATTTCCACACCGAGTCCGAGGTTGCCACCATGACTGTTGTGGGTGAGTGTGTGTGTGCGTGTGTGTGTGTATGTGCGTGTGTATGTGTGTGTGTGTATGTGTGATGTGTGTGTGTGTGTGGTGTGTGTGTGTGTGTGTATGTGTGTGTGTCTGTGTGTGTCTGTGTTGGCATGATTTGTAATTTCATGCGCCCACAAAATCCCCCCAACATATCTGTGGGAAAACGATGTATTTTAACATTTAAAAAATGCATGTCAAGAAGAACACAAATGAAGCGAGTCGTAAATTCTACCTTCAACAGCAACTGGAACATTTCCACCTGTATAATGTTTTATTGTGTTTAAGGTCTTGAATGGGAAATAATTTTTTTAAATTTGTTAAGGAATTAGTGGTTTTCAAAGGTTTATGATATGACGAGTAACATATTTAAACCATACCACGGGCGGGGATAGAACCCGCGATCAGAGAGTCTCAAAACTCCAGACCGTCGCGTTAGCCACTGGACCAGCTAGCCACAATAAGATTCGTCTTATTGTGGCTAGCTGGTCCAGTGGCTAACACAACGGTCTGGAGTTTTGAGACTCTCTGATCGCGGGTTCTATCCCCGCCCGTGGTATGGTTTGTTTGCAATCGTGTTATTACGATTTCGTGAGTCGAGTAACATTTCTTTCAACATCGTTCATTTATTACCCTACGAAATAAACTGGGATCGGGCAATCGGCACAGCTACCTTGTATACGTTGGCGGATTGTGGACTGAGACTGTAATTTGAACATGATTCAGATTAGAGCAACGAGGCGAACATAAAGAAGGAACACTGCAGCAGGCCTACTGACCCATGCGAAGCAGGTCCATGTCACCCCCCGGCTTAGACCAATGACCCACCTAATCAGGTCACTTCCACTAAAGGAAGCACAAGCTAGTCAGGTCCAACTGTCCCTGATCCATTACAAACATGTTTTCGTATAAATTTATACAGAAAAAAAAATGAAATATTGAAAAAAAATGCGTTTTGATTTCAGAGTCGAAATAATTTTTATATTCTATAGATAAATATTTGTCGAGTATGGAGGAGGTGAACGTATTCAGATATTTGGGAGTGGACGTGTCAGCGGATGGGTCTATGAAAGATGAGGTGAATCATAGAATTGATGAGGGAAAAAGAGTGAGTGGTGCACTTAGGAGTCTGTGGAGACAAAGAACTTTGTCCTTGGAGGCAAAGAGGGGAATGTATGAGAGTATAGTTTTACCAACGCTCTTATATGGGTGTGAAGCATGGGTGATGAATGTTGCAGCGAGGAGAAGGCTGGAGGCAGTGGAGATGTCATGTCTGAGGGCAATGTGTGGTGTGAATATAATGCAGAGAATTCGTAGTTTGGAAGTTAGGAGGAGGTGCGGGATTACCAAAACTGTTGTCCAGAGGGCTGAGGAAGGGTTGTTGAGGTGGTTCGGACATGTAGAGAGAATGGAGCGAAACAGAATGACTTCAAGAGTGTATCAGTCTGTAGTGGAAGGAAGGCGGGGTAGGGGTCGGCCTAGGAAATGTTGGAGGGAGGGGTAAAGGAGGTTTTGTGTGCGAGGGGCTTGGACTTCCAGCAGGCATGCATGAGCGTGTTTGATAGGAGTGAATGGAGACAAATGGTTTTTAATACTTGACGTGCTGTTGGAGTGTGAGCAAAGTAACATTTATGAAGGGATTCAGGGAAACCGGCAGGCCGGATTTGAGTCCTGGAGACGGGAAGTACAGTGCCTGCACTCTGAAGGAGGGGTGTTAATGTTGCAGTTTAAAAACTGTAGTGTAAAGCACCCTTCTGGCAAGACAGTGATGGAGTGAATGATGGTGAAAGTTTTTCTTTTTCGGGCCACCCTGCCTTGGTGGGAATCGGCCAGTGTGATAATAAAAAAAGAAAAAAAAAAAATATTTGTCGTTGGACAAGAACGCCGCACAAAAACAGTCACAGGTTACAGACAGGAACGTGTCTCCTGGAAGGTTAAGAAATATGTAGTTAACTATTTGGCATCTCAGTCGGTGCTCTAAGTAGCCGCTTAATCAACTTAGGAATAACAATACATTATTGTAGGTGAATGGTTCACAGAACCGACACGTTGATAAATTAGACACATGTGCAACTCTTGGGTATCTTTACTGAGGAAACGTTTCGCCACACAGTGGCTTCATCAATCCATACAAAGGAGAATCTGGAAGAACAGGAGGAGAATGAGGTAATCAGTCCCTCAGCCTTGAGTCGATGTGGTCAGTCCATCAATCTTGAATAGAATACGGCATATGAGCGGAGAAGGAGCTTATAAACCGTATGGCAGGAGAGGTGCAGCAGTCATAGGTGGTGTCACATTTGTCCAATGTGGAAGTAGGTTGTGCCCAAGAATTAGGCAAGCGAAGAATTCCCAAGTATTAAGATCCCAAGAAGTTGCTGTGTCTGACAGGATTGTAGATGAATGGTTCACAGAACCATTGTATGGACTGATGAAGCCACTGTGTGGCGAAACGTTTCCTCAGTAAAGATACCCAAGAGTTGCACATGTGTCTAATTTATCAACAATACATTATGTTCAGCTTTCCACTTAAGTTGTGACAGTGTGAGTAAGTTTTTCCAAGAGTATTCCGGCACTGTTTCAGAAACAACATTTTTGATATTGACATTAAATTCTTAATCGTCAACCGGAGAATGGGGTGTAGATTATCGTCAGTAAATTTACTTCGAATCTTTGTAAAAAGTACGTGTACGTATGTATGTATATTCAAATGAATGCCTATGTATATGTATCTACAAGTATATAAATTCGTGCACTTTCATATGCATATACATCTGAATATGTGGCGGAGGTAATTTATTTATGGGTTTTTAAACGTTGGTAAGCATCCCCCATTTTAATTATTGTTAAATACACAGCAACTGCAGCCTGTGCACGGCACAACCTGTGTAGGGTGCAACCTGTGCACGGTGCAACCTGTACATGGTGCAACCTGTGCACGGTGCAACCTGTGCATGGTGCAACCTGTGCATGGTGCAACCTGTGCACGGTGCAACTTGTGTACGGTGCAACCTCTTCGATAAAGTTCAAGCATGATATGTACTTGTAGCAGGAGGAAGAAATTAATTAAAAGATGGGGTTAGATGTTTAAAGTACCCGATATACATTGCTGTTTTAAGCTGTTTCTTGACTGACTTGTTAGCATGTTCTAATCTGAGTTTTGATCTTTGATCGCCTATTACATTTTCCCAGTAATAATTATTATTATTATTATTAAAGATTCGCCGGTATTCTCCCGGCCCGGGCCTTTTCAAAGTGGTGGCCCGGCCTTGGCTCCCTCTTTAGGGATTGTCTGAGACCTAAGTCTCCCATTGGAGGAGGCACAAGTACCTCCTCATCTTTGGGACCAACTGTCCCCAGGCCTAGCCACAAGCTAGGCCTCTCTGGTCTGCCATCCCCGCCCCAAGGGGGCAAATGGGAATGATAGTCTTATGAGCTAAAGGCTCGGGCTCAGGCACCTACCCTACCCTAGAAGGGTTAGGCATGGTATCGATGCCCCCCCATTAATAATAATAATAATAATAATAATAATAATAATAATAATAATAATAATAATAATAATAATAATAATAATAATAATAATAATAAAATTACCTTTAATTTTGTAAATTATTCATATATTCCTAGCTAACATTACTGTCATACTATATAGAAAACCCTTGATTATGCAAAGCATTTTGGGAAACTTGCGTTAATTTTCCCAGAGTACGAATACCAACAGTCGTCTAACAATGAGGTTGCTACTTACTGGTAGGTGAACAGGGGCAGGTGTAAGGAGACTTGCCCAGTGTTTGGATGTTTGAGTGCTCGACTGCATATATAAAACACTGAAGCTGCGTAATGGGCGGATACGAGGAAACTAGACTTACAAGAATCTCACAGTAACGTTGTGCTGTTAATACTATTATACAAATGGGACCAGATATCCGTGTTTTCTGTTAACGTACATCCCAAATAGGAATAACTTACCTCTCTGGAACCTAGCATTCACTGTTCGTTATTTGGTCACTTCAGTTCACTTACTTCACTGTACTTGATACTAGAGTCAGAAAACCGTGTCGCATGCTTTCAGAACGTCACAATATTCTCGCACATTTTGTTGGAACGTTACCTCGTTTTGTTAATTATCAGTCCATCGCAAAATCGCGTCAATTCACTGTAAACAGAAGCAGACAGGACTGGTTATGCATGGCTAACAACTGCCTTAAATCTGGCACCCAACATTTAGGCATCTCGACGTTGGGTAAGACCTGTTAACTGCCATGCCTGGGCCATCTTGCGTGCAAACAAACCACGGAACAGGTGGTGTTTGAAACAATAACGAGTGAGTCGTGTTATTTCCATTTCGTGAGTCATCTTGCGTGCCTTCGGCAGAGAAATTTCTGATCACATAATTTCCAAGGGTGTCATCATTTACTGTTGCATCCTTAATTAAATACCAGTCTTCTTTTATTGTTACAATCACTGTTAATAAATCATTAAAATAAGGACTTGTGAGACATGTCTTGTAATAAATTCATGACTAGAAGTTTCCACTAGCAACTATGTCGAAAAGATTTGTCAACTAGTTATCTTGTCCTGCATCACAAAATATGGGATAGAATCGCCTTACCTTCCCATCTTATCATATTCAGGCGCCCCCGCTTACAGTGCGGAGCAAATTACTCCACTGTGAGTGCATATGTGTAAGGGAACATATGAATATTTGAGAGTTGGTATGTGTGTGCGCGTATATATGTATTTGCTATGTATGCGTGAAAAAAATGTACATCTGCATTTATATGCTTGTGCATACAGTATATTTACTTATGTATATGTATATATACATATGCATATGTGTGAATACATTCGTGTGCATATGTATAAACATGTGAATTGTAAAAGTAGAGTTGAAGCTACCTAGTCAAACACATTCAAGCAATAACTTGCTGATACTTGGCTGGCTGTCGTCGTTAAGTTATGACGCTACACAAGACGCAAACACATTC